CTGCACATTCAGTCTGCTGTCACGCCTCACCGAGGGTTTCTGTGCCGCCTGCTAGTTAAGCTCATTATGGTTTATTTATGCTTTGCATTTCAATCCAGCCTGAGATGTCACAGAGTAAATCCACCTCAGCAGCAGATGTAAATAAAAGGAAAAAGTGAACAATATTGTGACGTTAAAGCAGTGAAGCTGTGATGACAGAATGGACGAGAGACTTAAAGCATGCATCATTTAAGGTCTGAGCTATAGTGAACATGATCCAATTGTTTTTCATTGTAAAAAAAGAAGCTGTTTCTCTTTCCTCTCACGCAGACCTTTTGCAGAAATCTGCAGCCAACCTTGTAACACAGGTAGGTGTCGTTTCTTTTGTTAGTAAAAGCAGAACTCTTTAAAGGCATGGGAAAGTCAAAGTGTTTGTGTCTTTAGCAGGAACAGAAGCCTCGACTAATCGACGAAAGCGTAAGAGAGTCCAGGAGAGCAGCCGAGGCCCCGCCTCCTCTGAACACGGGATCTCAACCAATCAGATTCCAGTAATGGTACGTTCATTCAATAAAACAGGAAAGCATCTGTTTCCTACGACGGAGTATTTGGGCCATTGATGGTGAAATGAATAAATACGTTGCAGAGCCAGGGGAAGAGGCCGATATTCTGACAACATCTTAACACCCAAAACCTAATGTTAATAAAATGTACAAAAAAAAGATCCTTCACATGAAATTATTTACTATTTTTGTCCTTTTTTTACATGTTATTTAAATATCAGAATAGACACTGAACATGTATTGCGTGTGCCAGGTGTGATCCATGTGGGGGGATGGGCACATAAGAGCGGGAAATGTGTCAAATATTGTTCTGTGTGTTTGTGTGTGCCACGTGTGATTCACATGGGGGGATGGGCACATAAGGGGACACACACAGACACATTCTAGATGTGTGTGTGTGTGTGTGTGTGTGTGTGTGTGTGTGTGTGTGTGTGTGTGTGTGTGTGTGTGTGTGTGTGTGTGTGTGTGTGTGTGTGTGTGTGTGTGTGTGTGTGTGTGTGTGTGTGTTATCTGATCTGGATGGTTACTAATTCCTTTTCTTTATGGCGGTCATGTTTGAGCGGGAACACCATGGTGTTACAAAGTTGACTAAATCATCCAAAATTCAATGAAAGTGGTGATCAGGAATGTTTATGTTCAAATGTCTCCTGTGAAGGATACCATGAAGCCTAAATGCAATCGAATGTAAAACAAAAAAGTTCTGATTGATGAAAGTAGTAAATCGGTCAGATTTGACCCGAAGACAACAGGAGGGTCTCAGAGAAGTTTTTTTCTTGGTAAATTGGATCTTGGACATTTGGACTTCCCTTCTCAGACATTTTTTTCTTCTCTTTTAACCAAAGGCCCAGAATATGATCTGAGTAAAAGAAACATTGAACTCATTATTTATAAAGATAATGTAATATGATACTTGATACATATTTTGTCCAACAATCCATTTTGCAGGAGCCTTTTTCAAATCTTACCTTAGGGTCTTGGTTCATTAAGTTCTGTGATATTCTATATTCTTGTTATTGTCAAACACCATAGTGCATTTATTGTACAAACTATTAGTACCATTAGACATGTGCCTTTCAGTAAGAACCAATGGGCTTATAGCCGAGTGCTACAGGAGTCGTGAAAGTCATTGTCAAGTGTAATCATACCTAAACTGTCTTATTCCACTTCTAGAAGCAAAATCTACTCAAACTGAATATCATACTGCCATACTTGAGGCAAGGTCAAAACCCCTATTTGTACTAATGAGAGATTTTCTCCACCATCACGACTGACTTTGCTCTTTTATTGTCTCTCTCTGCAGCAGTGGCCCATGTACATGGTGGACTACAGCGGCGTGAATGTGCAGGTTCCTGGGAAAGTGAATTACTGAAGGACACAGCTGGACTGCAGCACAGTGAAGAGAGGAGGAGGAGTGTGTCAAAGTGAAACTCTTCCACATGCCACGCTATCACTTTGTCGGAGCGCTAAGACTTAAAGTCTGCAGACCGAATAATGACTCTGTGAACGAGGAGCAGCAGAATGTACGGACAGGACAGCAGTCACTTTTTGTTTCCTCTCCACAGCTCATCATGACAGTAATATTGTTTTTTTACGAGACAAAGTTATGTCATTTGCTCTTGCTTTTACCAAGTGTCCATCCACTGTTGGGTTGTATTACTGACGGAAAACATGTCTTTGATAACGATCTGGTTCCATAATATTCAGATATTTGTACTTTTTATTTATTATATTTATTGAAATATACCATTATGTGCAGGGATGTAAAATACATTATTCAGCTCCTTGAGGAACTGTCACAACACTAACACAGAAGCTACTCACTCAGTAACCACAGGAAATCAAATGAACAGCGACGAAGTGTCTTAATTGGAGAAAATGAGGGAGATGAAAGGACTCTCAGTTTGTCTGACAGGTAGAACCTCAGCTGTTCAGCGGCAGGAAGTACCTGCAGGAAACACCAGACCTTCAGTTAGACTGAGCCTTCTTATGTTAGCGCCACATTAACAATATGTAAAATATAAAGTCAGCCTGAATGTATCATGTAAAGGAAGGAATGGTATGTTATTCTGCGATGACCGTCTCTGGACTAACAATATTTAATATGCTGTACCTTAACGCCAATTAGGCCTTTGAAATAAAATGTGTTGCCTTGCACTTTCATTTGGTTCGACTTTATTTCTTCACGTAGGCCTACTGTAGGGTTTATGATCCCCATTAACAAGTCTATATCTGTTTTATTTGAGTCAAGTTAAAAATAAAGCTATGGAATAGTGACAGCTCCACATACCAGCACATTTCTTAGAGATTATTTAAGGATAAATATGAAAAATAAGCTTTTTAAGAACGAGCAATTAATCTATTATTATCAATAATGATGTCACATTTCCTTAAAGGGGACCTATCAAGCAAAAGACACTTGTTGATGTCTTTAATACATAAATATGTCCCCGGTGTGTCGGGGAACGCAGCGTCAAAACATAAAACCCTCTCTTTTCCTCCGTACCCAAATCTCTAAAAACAGAGCTGATCCAGATTTGCGTCCAATATGACGTAATATCTGAAATGTGGACCCACGGCCCAATCAGAAACGTTGCTATCAGAAACAATGCCCGACTGTTTTGGACGTAATATGGTCGGTGTTTACATTAGCATCGCTAACACTCAGAGCTAACCTGTACTGGAGAGCATGTGTGTGAAGAAGCAGGAAGTAAAAAGGAACTCACGTTGTGGTATAACCGGCAAGAGAGAAAGCCTTTGAGCTCCAGACTGTTTCAGAGAGAATCCTTGATAATCCATGATATGGCGTTTCATCACAGCAGCATTTAGTTTAGACAGTAGCTGCCGGGTCCCGCATGAACTCAGACCCCTCCTTTTTTTTGTTTTTAAAGCTTTATACCCCAAATCAGCACTTTTGAAACAGGAAGTGAAATCGAGGGATATGAGGCATGGCTAGAATGGGTGATCTGTTTGGTATTTTGAGCATAACACTTCATAGACATGTTTTTTATATATCTGAGACCTATATGCTATTGCCTAAAAATAGCATGATAGGTGACCTTTAAATTCAGATGTAGCCTTTGAGTGAAAAAGCTCTATTTTGGTATGGTAAGTTAATTTAAAAAGCCCATTTCAGACAGAAATGCAGAGCTACGCATTAACACACGAAACAAATGAATCATAGAATGCAATTCATGAGAGAGAAGATAGTTAAAATCTAAATTTGAAATACAGAACTCTTCAAGAAATGCAGTTTTAATAATTTGTAAATAACCTTGGAAAAAGGAGTTGCAAACAGAAAAGACTCCCAATGTTATTGAAATGTTTTTATAGATTTAAAAATGACACATCCAATAAGAAAAATAGACCGTTTTAACCGTTGGAACTGCGTAGCAACGGCAGGAATTGCTTCCATAGCAACAACAAACTACGTAGCCTGTGAGGTTAACCTTTTAGCATTAGCTGTAATTAACATTAAACACGTTTCCATGTAGAGTACAATGATGGTGAACAGGACATCTATTGGAATATTCAGATTGTCTTTTCTGTCCTCATTCCTCTCTCAAACGCACCCCTGATGAACAAGTGCATGCTGGGAGTGGCTAACATGCTAATTGCTCATGACATTGTTGACCTGCAGTGAGTTGTGTGAGAACTTTCTTCTTGTGTTGGAGAACTTTGAGGAGAAAAGCTGGTTTTATATTTGTTTTGTGAATAAAATGGGTTTAAACTGGAGCAGCCTGCAGGACTTCATGGTGCTCAAGACTCACACAAATCCATGCAGACAGGTGGAAATATGATCAGTAGAAATGGCCATGACATGGGACCTTTAAATTATTTGAGTGCTTTTTTTCTATTTTACATGAATATCTTTTTGAAAGAATCAGCAGTTTCATAATAGACAACTTTATTGTATCCTATAGCTTCAATATCATGTGACCCAATGACCTCAAATCGATGCAGAATTGTATCACTACACTGAACAAGTAGCACACGTCTGGATTTTAGTGCTTCTACTAAAGACACAATAGCTTTTATTTTATTGAGAACTATTGGATTACTTTCCAATAGCTTCCATATCACGGGAACCCTAACCATTGGAGCATTGTTCTACTACACTGGACAAATAAGACATCTCTTTTTAAATTGGATATTATAGCGTTTTCTCCACTCTTACATAAATATTGTTATGAAAAAGTTTTTCTTTTCAAAAGCTTCCATATGAAGTGACCCAGTGACTTCAAATCAATGTAGTATTGTATTACTACACAGGACTAGTACTTTTTCACATAACTATATTTTGATATTGAGCTCTTGTTGTTCAGTTGCAGAGGTTGCGTTTTCAGATTTAGCTCAATACATAAACCCACATTATAAATGAATGTACAAATGTTTCATGAACCAGATCCGAACCCCAACATCGTTCATCCTCTTAGATCAAATATAATAAAAAAACAGTGAAGATTCATTTCGTTTTATTTCTTTATTGCAGAGACTTTTTTTGAGTGTTGCTTGTATACATGTCAAGACTCAGTCCACTGTACTGTGAGCAGTATTACCGTGGTGCGTTCAGGCGCTGCGTTCACAGCCGGGGGAACATGATCATGCCGGCCGCGGCGTCACGTGTCTTGTTTAATCAAGACGAGTTCGATGACCTTGATTGTCACACTGTGAAATGTCCTTAAACCGGAGCGTTTTCCCATCTGTCGGAGCGGAGGACGTGGAGCTGCACGACCTCGTCCCGTCACACACACTGTCACACTCTGAGGGACAAAACAATGCCTGCAGAAAGCCTGCGGGCGCCGCTAATGCAGATTCAAAACATGAGGAATCACCATGTGAGTGCATTAGACATCTGCTTATCAGAGTAGATTAGAGAGTAACATATTACAACAGATGGTCTAATCAGAAGTAGTGTAAACGTTTAAAAATCCACAACTTTCCTCTCCTCGACTCGCGTCTGTGGACCAAACCAGTTTCTTTTTTTTAGCAATGTTCTTGTTGTTTTTATTTACATCAGTTAAGTATTGCCTCTTCTCATCAAATAGGCTAATATATACTCACGTTGCTACTACCAGTTTCAGTGTTTTTCCACAGATACGCTTTAATTGCATAACTTCCCAATTGTTCCTTTTGACCAGGAAATCACACATGATTCGCTAAATGCACAGTCAGAACTAAAGTGCTTAATGAGACTTTTATCCTCCGTGTAAGCTGCCACTTTCAAGGGGGATACAGATGATGGTTACAAAAAGAAAACTTAATCTCCAGATTGGGATAAAAACAGGCTCAGTCTCCAGGAATATGAAGGAGCAGGAATGTAAATGAATTCTTCCAGAGAGGCTTTTTATTCAGCTCCCCCTTTCTCTCACTCAATGAGGGGTTGGATGGATGCTGAATGAGCGTAGGACCAGACTGAGGATGCTATGGTGGGTTTCTGGAGCTGTGCCCTAGCTGCTGGCTCCGCCTCCTCCTCCCTGGGCTTTGAAGCAGTCCTCCGTCACGCCTTGAGAGGCCAGCTCCGACAGGACGTTGTCCAGGTAGTTGGGGTCGGGGTATCCGTGTCCCGACAGGTTGGACATCATCTCGGTCTTGTGGTGGATGTTGTTCCACACCACGGTGTCCGGCTCCCCCGTGGTGCTGGACGTCCCCACGGTGAAGATGAGACGTCGCATCCACGCCACCTTCAGCAGCTCCAGCACCTTGAGACGGAGAAACAACATTAGAGAGCTCTGATAGAATCAAGATTTAGTAAATACAATCAAATAGAATAGTCTATATACAAGTCATTGGAATGTTGATATATGTAAGTTGCAAACAGATGAATGTTATGGATGTCCTTTCAAAAGTGCAGGTGTTTAACGGTCGTATGGCCTGTGGGATGACACTGTCCCTGAGTCTGGTGGTTTTAACAGCACCAAGTGTTTATGCATTTAATTAATGGCCATAAACGTACAAAATAACATGTTGAATTAAAACAATTTAGAGCTTTTTGTTATATGGGTTTTTGTGCCTGTAAATGGTCTGCAAAGGCTAAAGGCTAAACGGTTTGGTCTACAGAGAGCCGCAGTGACGCGTCCTAAAACCCGGAAGTAAACTCCTTCCGGTTCCTTCCACAAAAAGCAATGCAATCTCTCCGTAGGGTTTAGAAAAATAGCTGGAAATCAGGTCTGTGGTTGAAACACATTGAAGAGACGGATCACGTTTTGTTCAGCCGGATAATCTCCACATGTCTCTATCCTACTTTTATCATTTTCTAATCGTAAATCTTAGGGATAGATTTATGATGACTTATGATCTTCCGTTTTCTCTATTTGAAGCAGATATACCTGCAGGTGTTCTGCGATTGTATCTTTTTATATTTCAATGATCGTAAGTCGATTTGGACAAAAGTGCCGGATAAATGTGATTATAGTTTAGAGCAAAACAATAACACCAGATTAGTTGAGAGAAAATTAAGCAGCAACTATTTTTCTATTTATAAAAAATGCAGCTAAACATTCTCTGGTTTCCAGCTTCTCATGTCCTGCTTTTATTTCTCGTATGTGACTGATGGTTTTTGGGTTGGTTGGAAAACAAAGGAAACTGGAAGACATTATCTTGAGCTCTGGAAAAATAGTCCCAGCAATTTTTACTCTTACTACTTTTACTAAATGTTCTTCATCAACTTGCTCATAGAGCGCATCCATTGCTTTACTGAAAAGACCAATTCTTTTTTTGGTCCTGTTTTGGATAAACTACCTTGTCAACAAATCAACTCAAGAACATGTTACGAGCCATTAGAGAACTTATCACATGGCCACATTCTCAACAAAGTAACGACATGACTCCCAATATTAATTTAAATGCTTTTATGGATTTAGAAAATGTATGTATTGATTTAAAGTGACATGCATCCGCTAAGAAAAATAGTCCGTTGTTACCGTTTGAAAAACGTAGCAACGGCAGGAAGGCGGAGCTTTTTGATTACAGATTTGAAAACATCGCTGCTTGCTTTAAAAGTAGCACAATTCATGATGTCAGACCTTGGAAAGTATCTAGATATCCCTGCCCTGATGCCAAAGGAACTACACACTGAATATGTGTCGCCGTGTGATGTCTGTCTGGACCGCTGCGTAAAAAGGAGGGTTTCTGCCCCGGTACTTCTCCTCTGTTTTCTTGTCGCTCTTGTCTTGTTAGTTGCTTTTCAGCCAAACTGTATAAAGTTAAATAGAACGGACTTCTTTGTGCAGATGTGAGCATCCTTAACAACGGTCAATAAGTGCTTGACAGCGTGTTCTGAATTGACCAATCAGAATCGAGTATTCAACTAAGCCATGTAATAACTGATAAACTGGTTAAGTGATGGAAATGAAGCCATATTCTGAATGAAACTCGTAAGAGGCAGCTGCTGTCTACCGTTTGGAAAGACTGTGTGTCCGGTGTTAGTTTGGGACCCAGATAAACAAAACTGGAATAATTGAATCCACTCTTCCATTACTGACAGTCAACAGGTTATTTATAGAAGTGTGTTGGCAGCGAGCAGGAAAGGAGCTTCTTATTCACCATGGAAACAACAGAACTTTATAATAAGAGAGCACAACATGTTTTTAATGTAATCACAGTGCCACCTGCGGTCCTGATGGAGCTGTGTGCTGATCCCAGGTCTGCAGGATGTTGTTCCATACATGGATGACATACTGAGACCTGGTTTGTACTTGTAGTAGTAGATGTGTATTTTTGTTTTTTCACAACTGCCAATTCTGATTTTCAAGTTGGAGTGTGTGTCTGTGTCTGTGTGTCTGTGTCTGTGTCTGTGTGTGTGTGTGTGTGTGTGTGTGTGTGTGTGTGTGTGTGTGTGTGTGTGTGTGTGTGTGTGTGTGTGTGTGTGTGTGTGTGTGTGTGTCTGTGTCTGTGTGTGTGTGTCTGTGTGTGTGTGTGTGTGTGTGTGTGTGTGTGTGTGTGTGTGACCAAAGTAAGTAATTGTCTGTCCCACTGTGTGTGTGTTTGTGAATGTGAGAATCTGCTATTTGAGTCAGTCAAGCTATTCAATGGTAGGTGAGATCATAGAGGCAAGCACAAATAAAGAGTGTCTACCAGCTGTTCCCTTCTCGCGTGTGCTGTGTGTGTGTGTGTGTGTGTGTGTGTGTGTGTGTGTGTGTGTGTGTGTGTGTGTGTGTGTGTATTGAGCTGAGAGGTGAGGTGTTCTGTACCTTGCGGCCCTTGTCGTTGTCTGGCAGGAAGCAGAAGCGAGGGAAGCCTCTGCAGCTGTACGGCTGTCCGGGGTTAGGGTGCTCCGGGCCCTGAGGAGGAGGAGGAGGAGGAGGAGGAGGAGGAGGAGGAGGAGGAGGAGGAGGAGGAGGAGGAGGAGGAGGAGGAGGAGGAGGAGGAGGAGGAGGAGGAGGAGGAGGAGGAGGAGGAGGAGGGATTTGATAAATGAAAGACATAAACTTTAACACAAGAACAGTGATAGTACAAAAATCTAATAACAGTGGTTTGGAGATAACCTGAGACTAACGGCTCAATACAAATCTGATTCCAGTTCCTGTAACTTTAGAGCAGCGATAAACACAATGTATCTGCACTTAAAGGATAATAAGGGTTTTCCCAAAAGGAGGGTGTCGCTGTGAGCCAGGCACAATGAGAGGAGCAGACGCTGAGCCTTCATCTGTTCAAAACATCTTCACTGAAAGTCAGGGTGCCGTTTCACCTCCAGACCATTCAGGGTTTAGCTCACACTCTTTAAGCTATCAAACTAAAGCACCTCATTTTTATAAAAACACTTTAGGAAGATGTGAAACCCTTTCAGAGTAACCCTTCCATGAGATACATTAAACATAAAAAACTCCTGCAGCTTAGACTCAAAAACACTTTTGCAGACCATTTACATGCACAGAAAGCTATATAACACATAGCATAATACGGCCTCTTTAAGGCGACTAAACTAAGACGAAACACTCTTTTCTAGGAGCCCATACTCTCTGAATTTCATCATAGTTGTCGTGTCCTTGACAGTTGAATGACCGCCACTTTTCAATCATCGTTTTGGTTCAGGAGGAGAGACTGTGGCATCTGGTGTGCCAGGATGTTAGGATTTTGCAGCCCCGCTACATATAAAACATGTGACATAAAGACTGTGGGTATAATCCAAATGAAGTTGGACTCGTGTCATTGGCTCAGACGCACCTGCAGGCCCGGAGGGATGCTGTAGATGATCTGGATGGTTCCACAGTCGGGGTGTCCTGGCAGCGACTGGCCGATGCTGTAAATCTCCATCTTGCCTTTGGGCTGCGTGCCGGTTTTCTCTCCGTAGATTGTCTTACACGAGGGGCACTGCAGGCTGCCGTCCTGAGGTGAACACAGAGAGAGTTAGGGATCTGGGGGGGGGGGGGGGGGGGGGGGGGGGGACTCTGAGTGTTTAGATCAGGGGTGTCAAACTCAAATACACAGTGGGCCAAAATTAAAAAACCGGTACTAGTCGAGGGCCGGACTGGTTCAATGTTTATTGCAGAACTTATTGAAATGAACTTATTGCACATATTAAACCTGGAACTAACAAAGCTTAAATTATTGCCTATAAAAACAACATTAAATAATCAGCTGCATTCATTTCTTATGGCTCTATCTGCAGCTTTTCCAGAGTCATTTCTTATGATTACATTTCCCCACAGGCCAACAACAGCTTCAACAAAACTATTTCCCTCAAAGAGAAAACCAAACATGCCCTGTTGTCCTGAGAGAAAGTGCAGAAGGAAACATCCATTGAACTCAGTGTGCTGCTCTGTGATGCTAGCTCAGATACTTGGCATCTCATCTTGGGTGCAAGGTCATCAATGTTTGGGCTCAGGCTCTGAGCGGAGGAGACCCTCAGGATGGAGTGAAGGTGTGTGTGCAATATACCGGCGGGCCAGATCTAAAAGTCATTAGAAATTATCCTGCGGGCCGAAATTAAATCCACCAAGGGCCTGATTTGGCCCCCGGGCCTTGAGTTTGACACATGTGGTTTAGATAGTTCACTTTAGTCTAAGTTATCTCAGTGGGTTTCAAACGTTTTGATCACAATTTATGTAAACACATATTTCCAAGGCACTCCTTTATAATTATTGGCATAAAACAGGTTTGAAATCATTCCAATGTAGACTATAGGACAGTAACCCAGACATATCGTTTTAAACTGGAGAGATAAAAAAAATGCATAAATAAATAAATGTTAAGGTAAAATAAGATATAAATGAACAACTAAAATAAGTTACATTTATTTGTTATTGGCTATGGTAGGTTATTGGTTATGTTCATATACTTATCTGACATTAAAATGTAAACCGGTCTTTTTCATATGGGGGTTTTAGAGTTGTACCCCCTAGATCAGGTCTCTCCTAATTGTGTGCTCAAAGTGCACCAGATTGAAGCATTTTACTTTCAAATGTTCAAACATTTCTTCCCGAGGGGGGGGGGGCATACCCCCGGACCCCCCTAGAGGATGTGATGTCCACCCCCCACTTCAAACATGTTCATACAATACTGCTAAAATCTCGCCTAGGGCAGCAAACTAGCTAGAACCGGTTAGTCCACAGTATTGAGTATGTTAGTCGCTTTGGATAAAAGCGACTAACAAGTAACATGTCATGTGTATTGCCAAACGTCTTTAAAGGACCACAGTTGTACACCTTTAAGCTCTTTGTTATTCTGGCTTTAAGAGCACGCTTTGGACTTTTATAATAATGTACATTTTTACTCCAGTTTGCAACACACAGCCTGTTGCAGAGCTGGGTGTAAACTGTTCTGGTCTTAGTGAGAAACATGAGGATATGTACAAATATTGCAACAGCGACTTTTTCAGAAAGGTGGTTGAAATAAAGAAGAAGGCTGTTTTGTGTTATACATTAATCCTAGTACGCTTGTATGTAAATGGAGATTTAGGTATAACTTTTAGTAGCAGATCTACAGCTGCCCTGATCGGGTGTGTTCCTGTTCTGCATGGTCAAATTACAGCTTTTGTCCATGGAGTCTGGTGTCTTTGAAGAAAGCATAGACGAGTGTCCTCATGGGTACCTTGGTCCCGTTGTTGTACATGGCCAGCATGCAGAGCATGTGCAGGGTGTGTCCACATTTGATGAACTTCCCCACGGTGTCTGGCAGGACGCTGGGGCCCTCCTCTGTGGACTGCGTCTCATAGCCGGATGCGTTGGACAGCTGATCCATGCAGATAATGCAGTCCTGAGGAAGAGAGGGGTGTTCAGTGGCAGAAAGGCACGTTTTCCAAGAGTAAGGCCAACAGCTGCAACATGAACCGTCATCTAAATGCTGAGCTGAATGCTTTCCGTTTATGTTTTGACCCTTGAAGCATGTGTGTGGAAAAGACTACAATAAACCTCTCTGATGTCTAGGAGGAAAAAAACATGAAACATTTACCTCGTCCTGCACTCCGGCAACTACCTCCATGTAGCGCTGAATCACCTCCTCAGGTCTCTGAGCGGAGGCTGAGAGGAGAGAGAGCAGAGTGATGAATGAGCTGCGACACACTGAGGTCAAAGGAAACCACTCACAATCTTATTTTACATTTTCAGTCAAACACAAGCTACATAAAGGTATGGATTTCTACTCTTGCTGCAAAGAATACATCCAGCTCAGGCTGCTGCTAATCAAAGTGTGCGTCTGAACACACAAGATAAGAGACAACTTGGATGAGGGGCGAATGAATACTAATGGCAGCGTGAGGGATGGAGACAGACATTAGTGCATGTATTCTCTCATGAGAGTCAAATCGGTTCAAGAAACTCATTCCTGAACATTTACGAAACCTTTTTGGTTTATTATACAAGAAGGCTCCATTTCAAGCCATCATTTAAAAAGGGTAGGAGGTTGTTTTCTTTCCCTCCCGACTGAGGAATAGGAAGAAAATATATTCATTGTTTCACACTTTTTATGCTTTTGTGTCTGAAGTGTCGAGAGCATTAATTCAAGTTGAAGTGCCAGACAAAGAGCGTGAAGGAGGGGTTATTTATGGTCATGCAGAGAAGAACAAATGACATCAGGCAGAAACAAAGGGGCAGCAAAGAAGCTTAATATATGCAATTGAGGCGAGTTGCACGACACGTCCTTCTCTCCAGCTAATTCACCGACAGTGTAATCTTATCTATGAGCACGAGCGCTTTGAGGTTGTCACGGTGAATGTGATACAATCCGTGTAAAGGTTGATTTAATCTGGCTCAATGCTGCGTTCCTTTACCCCCATTGGATCAAAAATGGAACAATCCAAGAGTGCTTGATAAATATATTTAACGACTGCTGAAGATTGAATGTCGATTGCAGCTCTATCCTGCAGCAGTGGCTTCTGGGACATTGAGATCTGTTGGCTGCGAAGGCTACAACGTGATTATTTAAATTAACGGTTTGCACAATTCAAGGTCTCGCACAAGTTTCCGTTGAGAGTGCTGAACATGAATGAAAAATAAGAAGGATTTGATGGTTATTGTGATCCTTTGCTTCGTTAGAAGTACTAAGCACACACTGTGAAAATACTCCTGCAATCAAAGTAAAAGCATGCAAGTAAACAATAGTTCAAGTAGTTATTATTGTGGAGTAAAATATACCCCGTCAGTCTTTATTTGATCGATTATATATTAGTTTTCTGGATTAGTAAAACTGCTGCATCGATGTGGATGTCATTACCTCCTTTACGGTTGGCTCGTTAAATCTACAGCAGTGCATCGTATTCCAGACGTTTGATGGCTTTGTCCTAGGTAAAGAACGTGAGTAATTGTTCTTAGTTACTTTCCACCACTATTAGAGATAAACACGCTGCTATGATGGCCGCTGAATAGAGAGGCCAAGTCCCTCCCTTTCCTCCATGGGACCTTATTTCTGAAAAAGTATGCATTGAAGTCGATGGGGAGAGAAAGATTAGCTTTTGATCCCGTTTGAATTGTGCCACGAGTTACACACATGATGTTTGTCAATTTAAAAGATCATTTAGCAAGTTAAAAAAATAAAACTGTCATAAAACTGTGAAGTAACACTTTGTGTGTGTGACCGCTCAATGAACTCCATCTCCCGTCTCGCTCCACACACCAAGACGGCCGTCACGTTGAAACATTTCACTTCTTTCTCTCAGAACGAGGCGGAAAAGAGGTGGAAATCCCTCCAAGTCTGGGCACGTTGAGAGCTGTGCATACACACAAGGGGAGTTAGTCGGTTCCTAAGAGCCAGCATGCGGGACCGGGACTCTGGGATTTGTAGTCTTTCTAGTTGCGTATTTTTCATAGTCTTATATTTCAACAGTTTTACGACAAACTGTGACTTTTTTGACATGGAAATTATTTGTTAAATTGACAAACATCATATGTGTAATTCGTGGCACAATTCAAACGGGATCGAGAGATACGTTTTCTCTCCATCGACTTCAATACATACTTTTTCTGAAATAAGGTCCCATGGGGCGGAAGCAGATGGGCGGGACTTCGCCTCTCTATCAGCCAAAGGTCTTTGAAAACTCAGTTTAGAGACTTCTGTACTTCTTCCACAGTTGCACACAAAGCCACACTTCCCCCCCCAGCTAACACCAAAGTGAAGCACACGTCACAAACACATGGAGACAAATGAGAGCGAGCGGATGCAGGATGAAATGTCCCTCAAGCCTGTGGTGATAAACCAACGGGGAGAGAGCGATGGAGGAAAGAAAAGAGAGGGCCGGGGTTTTGGTAGCTACCTCTCCTGTGCTGCCTCTTTGCTCTCCTAACTGAACTGCTGCTGCTGCTGCTGCTGGGGGGGGGCCGGCTGGGCCTGCTGGCGGGGGGGAGGAGAGGAGGAGGAGGAGGAAGCGAGAAAGGAGCAGGCTGCTGATGCTGAGGATGCTGAGGATGCTGAGGTTGAGGATGCTGATGCTGAGGTGGATGCTGTAGCTGCTGCTGCTGCTGCTGCTGCTGAGGGAGGGGGGCATTGGTGAAGTGCACGCCGAGTCCCACTGCTGACATCAAAATGGAGGCCATGCCTGGAGCGGGGGAAGGGTGGGGGTGAGGCGGGATGGGGTGGGAGGGTGGGGCAGGTGAGGGGTGAGAGCAAGTGGAGATATGCAGGAGTAGAAAGGAACAAATCAAAGGCAAAGGTATGAGAAATGTCGCAGCAACTGATGCTCCCTCCTTGTCCTCCACATAGACCATCAAATCAAAACCAAACTCAAGTGTCTCCTTTTTGATTAGGGAGTAAAGGTGCCATCAGGACTTTACACGAGCAATAATTGTGTGAGCTAAAGTGAAATCTACAGGTTATCCTGAGAAAAGATCTACTAAGAATCGATGGTTTCCAGGAGCTGGAAGTCAGACCTGTCAATCAGAAGACTGGTTTACATGAAACCCCCCTCCCTGTGAACAGCTTAGCAATGCAGATTAGGCGTTGCAGAAATAACATCGTGTGACAATCATACGTTAGTATTAAAAACAAATGTATTTCTTTCTTTGAAGGCGACACGCTTAGCCTCGTTAGCATAGCACGCAGCGCTACTTGCATCACGCTCCACCCGCATCAACAGGCTTTACTTGTCAGGTGTTCAGAATTGATGAGGTGAGAATTGAGTGGTGCAGTGATGATGTCTTTTTGGAAGCCGACCCGGAAGTACACAACGTAAGGGCTCCCTCGAAAAAGAATGATTTTTGAATCGCAGGGAACTACAGCAAAGTCACATGACTTCACGTCACCGCTGCTAAGCTAATGGAAGCTCATTTCAACGCCATGTGTAGTAGCGTCATTTAGTCTCCCGTCGACCATTTTAAGACTCACAAAGTTATCGACATTCATTTAAATAAATAACCCAGTTTGACGATGACTGAATGAACAGTTTGCATCAGTCACCTTTTAAAGGCAACAATAATCTAGACCTGTTTAACAAATCCAAGCAGACTTTCCCGTACCTTTCTACCTCCAACAGAATTGGATGCCGTTCTGTTTATTGAAGTGTTTCACACTGAGAGAAATATCGAGCAGATAACCAGTATTGTTCATTTGTGACTAAAGATCATGAGAAGAGTGCGTTCGGAGAAGACGCCGCATGAATGACCTTCAATTTTAAAAGTCAGGGTACGCTGCTTTGCACTAATAAGGTTCTGGTCCAGTAGCTTCCTCCGGGCTGATGGTATTGATTCACTCGGCTTATCAGCGCCCAGAGACGGAGAGTCATCAGAGAGCAGGAAGAAAAGAGACGAGCGCTCACTGTGCATGTCAATTCTGTCGTTTAGTGACAATTACGACTTTCCTGCCACATGTGAGCATTTTAAAAAGTGTGTTTTTATTGAATTGAATTGGCCATAAATGTTCTTTACTGATTCTCTAAATATATATATTTGTAATGGTCCATTTACATTTCATTTATTAATTTTGGCATCTTTCCTTTTTACTGTTTTAAAATGCCTGTTTGCTTTTGTTAAGATATGTTGCATTTTAATACAAATATAATAATTGTACTATAACTTTTTAGCTTATTTGACCATCTAGCTGAATATAATTTGCGGCTAACATATTACAACACAGTGGTTGTTTGAAAGAGCAGAAATCTTCATGATGCTACAAACAAGCAACAGTGAGGATAGAAAAACACTTTGCAGAGTTAATCCATAAAGCAGAGGAAGCATGCGGGGGGGGGAACACACACACACTGAGGCATTTGTCAGCAACCGTTTGTTCTGTGGATTTAAAATTGTCTTACCATTAACAGCGATTATGGACATTACATCTGAGAGTCTGATTAAGGTTAATGTTCCTTTTTTAATGTTTGGCTATTAATGTGATTAGTCAGAGTTCAGTCCAAAAGTTCAAGGTGTGTGTGAAGGGTACGCCTCTGTGCTTATTTTAAAACAGTTATTACACCATGAACTCAAATGAAATACATTTGGCTTCCCATTAGTCATGATGACTGCCAAAAACCTGCCGACTCATTTCTGCCATCAGAAAGGCAGTCAGCGTTTAGTAGCATCACTTATAGCCGTCTACTTTAACACCGCAAGTATTTGATTTGAGAAAACGTCGGAATTATATATGATGTTTAGCTATGAGGCTCTAAAAAGCCCTTTATTGTTCTCATACTGTCTGTGCTGCAGCACCTCTTTTCACCCTCTGTCTGAAACCAGAGCCCAGTCTGCTCTGATTGGTTAGCTGGCCGGCTCTGTTGTGATTGGTCACCAGCTTCAGGGTATATGCAGGAATCCTGAAGTCAGATGTAATTCCTTTTTTAAGACCCTTTCCATACATTTTAAGACCTCATCGCCACTTGGAGTTCTAACCGGTTACCTTGGCGACACACTTATACTTATACTTATACTTATACAGTATTGATTGTCCTTCCTCCTTATCTTCCAACCATTTGGACGCAGACTTGCATTTCCCCATAACGATGTTGTTTAACAACCGGCGTAAACGGAGCTTTGCGCTATCAAGCAGTGAGCGTGCGATGTCCTGTTCAGATGACGTCAAACCCAACGGGATGCCATCAATAAACTACACAGAATCACACGACACACCTACGCCATGATTACATTCAGGCAGACTGTAGAACACAACCTCTTTGGACCATTCATATACTTATTGAAAACAAGCTACAAAATGTAATACCTTGGAAAATGCCCTTTAATACTTTTTAATAGCCTTCATTTTCGCTAAATGTATTTATCAACTTCTAATACTTTTAGGACCCCGCGGACCCCCTGAGCTTAGAGATGCCCCAGCCCTTATCCTATCACATAGAAAGTGTTGGACCGCTAGCCAATAGAAGTGGGAGTGTTACATCGTGATATCGACGGAGTCCAATGGAGGCGTTTCTCTCACTTTTAATGGCCCAGACTTCCTAAATTGTTTTGTTCTTATTTGCACTCCTCCAGAAACGCATATATTAGTTAACATTTTATTATAAATACAATAATTCTTTTTGTCAGATTCTCAGGTTTGGCACCGTAATTATGCGTCTCTTACAAGTCGAGCCACGAAGGCGTTTCTTTTATTGCGGCTGCAGCACCTTCTTATTGCAGCGTTTCGTGTGGCATTCTGTTCTTAAACAGACTGCCACTCACAAGACAAATGCTGAGGGACAAGACACGTAAACCAAACACACTCTCACTGATTGAAACCAGCGACTGACTCTAGAGCGCGCTGCAGAACAGAGCGGAGGAGGTACGGATGGTCGGTGACCCGTTTACCTGCCAGGGCGGAGCTCACACTGGTGGATCCGTTCAGCTGCACAGAGATGGAGGGGACGCTGCAGGACGGGAGACAAGGACAGGGACATTCAGTCAGCACACAGAAAACATGACTGTGGATGTACTGTGAACGTTTATATACATCCACTTAGGGTTGAACACATCCAGAGATTGGTTAGTAATGACTTAACATTTGCTGCATTTGTAAAGTGCCAATACGGGATATTATTGAGTACCATGACTCATCAATATATTGAGAAATATGAAGCCGACAAATCTGCTTACTATGCGAAATAGCCTATTGTTGGTACTGAAGTATATGGAGCTCTAAACTAAATCCAGTGAAAGGCACTTTTTTATGAACTGCTCAGTCTTAGTGACGTCTTTAAATGTTCTAGTTTTGTTAGACAAAAATAACTTGTTTTCAAATGTAATAAACATACAGTATGGAAAGCAGCTTATCCTTACAGTTAGACATTGAGTCGGCAAATGTTAAATAAATTAGCTAAGAGTTTTGTCAATTATCCCAATTTGTATTTTCCTTGTTTAACTATCGACTTATCAACCCTGTTTGTCTTAACTTTCGAGTAAGGCTCTCACCTCCAACACACAAGCACAAACAATGACAAATGATAAGTTCCTGACCAAATGTAGATATGTAGAACAACCTTCAGGTAACTTCAAAGCCACTGCAGATGTTTCACCCTCTGATAGTTAAGACGACTTGGTACGCAAAACAGGAGGGTTTGTGTCACTGATAGCATAAGGCCTGTTTGACATGAGCTAGGTCAAAAGAACAGAATTGACTAAGTAATGAACCACTTCTTTTAAATGATACAGCTTTTCTTTTGTCTGCATTTGCATATTTATTCTAGCATGTAGCATTTAGCATCTGCTATGAAAGAACTTAAAGGTCCCATGTCATGGCCATTTCCACTGATCATAACTCCATTGGTGAGGTCGACTAGAATAGATTTATATTGTGCAATTTTCCAAACTCACATTGGTTTCTCACAGCATCTCTGTAAACTACGTGTCTTCACTCTCTGCCTTTAACGGCTCGTTGTAGCTCCAATAGCTCCAGCCCCCCCCCCTCCCTGTGAGCACAGTGTGCTCTGATTGGTCGGGACGTTGTGAATCGCGCTGAGCTCCGTGGAGGTGTTGTTTCCTTGTTTAGCGATACACATCGAAACTCACCCTGAGCACACACAGTCACAGCCGAAGTAAAAACAATAAGTGTGGCTTGATATTGAGAAAGAAAAAGGTTGATAAACGCTGTGAGAATGGGTCTGCAGAGAGAACGGGTCTGTAGAGAGAACGGGTCTGCAGAGAGAACGGGTCTGCAGAGAGAACGGGTCTGCAGAGAGAACGGGTCTGCAGAGAGAATGGGTCTGTAGAGAGAATGGGTCTGTAGAGAGAATGGGTCTGTAGAGAGAATGGGTCTGCAGAGAGAATGGGTCTGTAGAGAGAATGGGTCTGTAGAGAGAATGGGTCTGCAGAGAGAATGGGTCTGTAGAGAGAATGGGTCTGCAGAGAGAATGGGTCTGTAGAGAGAATGGGTCTGCAGAGAGAATGGGTCTGCAGGGAGAACGGGTCTGCAGGGAGAACGGGTCTGTAGAGAGAACGGGTCTGTAGAGAGAACGGGTCTGCAGAGAGAACGGGTCTGTAGAGAGAACGGGTCTGCAGAGAGAACGGGTCTGCAGAGAGAACGGGTCTGCAGAGAGAACGGGTCTGTAGAGAGAACGGGTCTGTAGAGAGAACGGGTCTGCAGAGAGAACGGGTCTGTAGAGAGAACGGGTCTGCAGAGAGAACGGGTCTGCAGAGAGAACGGGTCTGCAGAGAGAACGGGTCTGCAGAGAGAACGGGTCTGCAGAGAGAACGGGTCTGCAGGGAGAACGGGTCTGCAGAGAGAACGGGTCTGCAGAGAGAATGGGTCTGTAGAGAGAATGGGTCTGCAGAGAGAACGGGTCTGCAGGGAGAATGGGTCTGTAGAGAGAATGGGTCTGCAGAGAGAATGGGTCAGCAGTGAGAATGGGTCTGTAGTGAGAACGGGTCTGCAGAGAGAACGGGTCTGCAGAGAGAATGGGTCTGCAGGGAGAATGGGTCTGTAGTGAGAACGGGTCTGCAGAGAGAACGGGTCTGCAGGGAGAATGGGTCTGCAGGGAGAATGGGTCTGCAGAGAGAATGGGTCTGCAGGGAGAATGGGTCTGCAGAGAGAATGGGTCAGCAGTGAGAATGGGTCTGCAGAGAGAATGGGTCTGCAGGGAGAATGGGTCTGCAGAGAGAACGGGTCTGCAGGGAGAATGGGTCTGCAGAGAGAATTTCGCCGCGATCCCAACTGTCTGTTATCAGCCTGCAGCCAGGGAGGAGAGATCAGCTGAGCTGCCTGCACTGAGTGTGTGAGGAAGTCCGTGGATTGGTCAATTTGGACCAATCAGCGGGGGCTTAACGTAACGGCTCCGCTGACGTAACGTAACGGCTCCACGGATTGGTCCATTTAGTTCCGGGTACGTGCTTACGTAATCTCATACCCGGAAGAATCAAATGGATGATGACGTTTCACCAACGAGGCGTTTTGGGGAGGTGTTAGAGTTTTACTCGCTACAGGGTGTACTTTGAGGGTTTTGACTCTGCAGACCGTTTACATGCAGAACAACCTTCATGACACAAGGGGACGGTGACAACCGGAAAAGCATGACATGGGACCTTTAAAAAAATACAAATGCAGATCAGATAGATTGCACAGGTAGGAGAATACCTTGGCATGGACATCAGAAAGCATTGTGCTTACCATCCACAGAGTGGTGGTGCGGTGGAAAGAGAGAACGGTACAATCAAAATATGGAAGTTCAAACTTTGTGTGAACAGGAGTAGTTTCAACATAGTCTGCCAAATCAGCTCTGTGGCCTTGAAGCGCTTGAGAATAATAACCCTCATTAGAGTATGCAGAGAAAACAGAAAATATGAAGAAATGGTACAGTAGTGTTAGACAATGCTTTTTAGAAGCATTTGGTTTCACCATATAAGGTAACATAAGAAATTGCCACTACACAACCTGCATGTGTGCATCTATATTCAACAGACACACCTTTCACAGTGATCATGTCTGAGCAAAAGAAAGAATTAGGAACAGAAAGAAGGAGAGCTGGAGATGACACCTCCAACAGGAAGCCAACACACACACATACCTCTGCAGGGCTGGAGCTGCAGATAGTGTTCACTCATTCCTGTTTTACAACATAAGTCAAAGTGGAAATGGACAGGAAAGACAAAGGGAAGGGAAGGGTGGAAAAGGGGCCCTTGACCTACAACCCTGGACAGATAACAGAGGTGTTTTCCCATTCGCGAGTTTGCCTTACTTTTGTCTCGTGTGTCGAAGGAGCAGAGTTAGTCAACTGTTTTAAAGTTGCAGTTTTTAGTTCGAACACTAGTAAGATGGTTTCAATGCGTTTCGTTTCATTTCGGTCGAGTTTGAAAGAAGTGTGTTTAATGGTATTCAGGAAATAGATTTGTTTCTGTCTGTCAGTTGGAATTAATGAAGACATTTCAATTATTTGTTGTACCTTTCAATATTCATAACTCTCCAAATTCCTTTTTATTTTATTTATCATCTATTCCCTGGAACGCACATCATGGCATTGGGGAAGAAACATGTTGCCTATCAAACCGGATGTCATGTTTACATTACATCACTGTAGTTTGGAGCTGGGGACAAACATACAGTGACCCCTGCACAGTTATTTGTCCCCCAAAAAAGCCACTCTTGCAACCTTTCCCACTGAAGACAAAAGCCAGACGTGAGTGGTTTATTCTCCTCTGGGACTTTCGGGACATCTTTCTGCTGTCGATAGACTCGAGCCTGACTGAATGACACTGCAAACCAACACACAACCATCCCATCAGAAACACACCTTAACCCGTTGGCACTGGCCGAGCTGGGCAGAAGCGGTGCAGACAGTTGACTTCCAGAGGCTGGTGGAGGCCAGGGGCTGCCCCAGGACATCCCCCCCACAGAGAGGGGTCTCCTCGGGTACGGGGAGTACACAGAGGTGGGGTGGGCCGCCACAGCCCTCCCTGTGGCCTGAAGAATGGGCCGGTTCAGACTGCCTGATGAAAAGGAATGTCGTGAGCGGCTGGGCATGGGACCTGTGCTGCTGTGGCTCAAACACTGCTGGCAGGAGCAGGCCGCGCCAGAGGAGGGGATGGCCGGGGGTCCGGAGGAGGCCAGGGGGTACGGGAGGTTACACTGCCGTCGCACCTGCCGTCTGAAGCCGCTCGCTTTGTTCACCTGGGCCAGAGACGTGAGGTCAACTATGTAGTTGTATCCGTGCGGGCCCAGGTCCGCCGTGCCTTGGCGGGCCTGGTAGCTGTGCTCCAGGAGGATGGAGGTGCGAGTCTCGTATGGAGTCCATCCCCCCTCATCGTTCAGCCATTCCCAGTAAACACCACTGCCCAGGCCTGAGGACTGGGCGAACAGGGAGCGACGCACTGACCGTGTCTTTCCTGCAAATAAAATAAAACACCATTATTAAAAACACTTCTTTAAAGCTCATTACGCAAGCCTTATATGTACACATAAATCCACATTTTCAGTCAAAATCACATAAGGGGACCATGACACAGAAAAGATCCCAGAGAACCATTTAAATATAGATGTCAATAATGTAAACATCATAATCCTTAATCCATAAGATTTTCCTTTTGGCAGCCTGCTCTGTTATTTAGCCAATGGTGTTTCATGGTGATGTTTAATATAATTATTTAGAAAAGAGAAGAGCACTTCAGATATAATAACAACTATTCCCAATACTTGTTATTGTTTGAACGAATCAGCACATATGTATAATAGTACATATCAACAGTGACATATAGTATTACTATTGAACTCAATATTAATATACAGATTTAACATATAATTGAAGTCAGTGTAATGTGATAGGCCAACCCACAACTAACTAAATGCAAGCAATGTACACTTTTATATTATACTAAGTTAGCAACGTATACTAGCCTATAAGTAATTACAGTTTGGAATAGACAATATGCTAATGTAACAAGCAATTTGACAGGTTATAGAAAGCCTATGTGGACAAGTTAGCTAACGTTGAATACAAACTATTAAACAGGGTAAGTTTAATAATGTTAAGCTGAGTATTTTGCTAACCTTAGCTAGCAGCTATGTAAACACGCATCAAAACAACAGCGTCCCTGTAAGCTAATGCTAAGTAGCTAACTAGCTTTATCTGTTAGCCTGGCCTGATGGTGTTTCCAGGACAGGTGCAACATTTGAACAAAAACACCGAATAGGAAGCTCATAATAGAGGTATTAAATGTCATAGTGTGTCATATTCTCACCTGTGTCCTGTCGAAACTGCTTCAGGCTCGGTATGTCGATGAGATAAGGCGTCAGGCTGGGGTCTGATTGTCCGAGGCAGATGCTCGTTGATCCGGCTGCTCCTCCTCCTGCTGCTGCTCCTCGCTGGTTCCTCGTAGACAAACACCGCTCGATGTGGGCGCTCACCTGTCCGCTATAAGGCCTCCAATAGCCCAGGTCATCCTGCCATTCCCACACCGCTATCATGGGCTGAGATTGACCCACGGGTACAGAAGGAGTAGCCGAAACTGTCGGCCCATTTCTAGACCCGTTTACCCTGGCACAGGATCCAGACACAATCGCCATATTCAAGCTAACAAACAGCTAGTTCTGGTTAGCTGGTGTAACTGCTATACGACGAAGGAGAAAGACGTCTGCTAGCTTGGCTCGTTAAAAAGTGCCATGGTGAATTTGTTAAGAGGATGGTATGAGGTAGAGATTAGATGGTTGATACACAGTTAAGTGCATGTTGACAAAAATGGTGCATTCAGAGGCTTAGCGGATAAACGTTAGCTTTGTGACAGCAGCGTTGCCAGGGTTCCTTCCGTCCTCTACGGCCGCCTTCAGGGACCTCCGTGAAAATCGTAATTCTAACCACGTTTGTGGGAAACCAGAATCAGAGTATTGCGAAATTCCCTTACAAGGAATTTGCCTTGGTGTTTGATCCATTCAAAAAAACGGAATGAGAGGAACTGCAGAAGTCAAGAAGATACAGGTATATTTCATTTCATTTTTATTTGTTCCGTTCATGGTACGCAAAACCCAATGTACAATAACTGCCAACAAAACATGTCTCTACAAACACACCATTGAGGGAAAAGTCCGGGAGAAGAAACAAATCTTATATTACCTGCCCCTTTCTAAAAAAAACACAAAATAAATAGAAATAGATTGTCCGTCCTTCATATTTTTCACAGCCAAACGTTTTCACAGCCAAACATAACAGTATCTTAGGATACAAAGAGAAACACAACAAATACTTATTTCCCACTTGACGGTTAACGTAAAGAAACAAAACAACAACAAAAACCAACAACACCAAAACATCACATGTATAAGGAAAAGGAAAAGTGCACCCTCATCTGAGTCCTACTCAGGGTCGGCTCTAGAACAAATCGAATGGGGGGGAAATCATTTACAAAGGGGGGGCACACACTGCCGTCAACAACCAACACACAAACACCAACGCAACTTCAAAAAACATGCTGTAAAGTCTATTGTCTTTCACACACATTGCAGAGTGTAGTGCTATTGTATAGCGCACCTATGACTTGTGCATACATGCACGGTTGTGGCACGACCACCAAAACAGAAACATATAAGGACATAGGCCACCATATAAAAAGGGTGCAAATGTATTTAGTATCCTATCCATGTGAACATGTTTTAGGTGGGTGTGGATCTAACCTCCTCTAGGAGGGTCTGGGGGCAAGCTCCCCCGGGAAGATTATTTTTTAAATATTGAAGTTAAATGCATCAATCTGGTGCACTTTGAGAGCAACATGAAGAGATCTATGGATACATCTCTCAACATCCATGTGAAACAGAACTGTACACAGATTTACTTTTTCTTTATGGATATTTTCCTAATCACTCCCCTTTTAAACTGTATTCTTGTGTTACTGTCCTATAGTATTTCATACCCGTTTTTAATGTATTCTCTTATTCTTTAATAACTATAATGATCATATAAAGGTATTCCTCGCAAATACTTGTTTACATAAATGGTGACCAACCCGTTTGAGACCCACTGAGATAACCTACACTAAAGTGAACTATCTAAACACTGAGAGAGTCCTTTACCTCACTGAGCTGAGGTTATAAGATCCTCTCAGTCTGACAGGAGAGGACTCTCCTCCACCTTGGTGTAGAAACAGCTCTTTATATCCGTTAGCATAGCGAGCTAACCAGATGCTAACATCAACATTCCACGTTACCGCTCGCGCACTCACAAAATGCGCTCGTGCCACACACACACAGAGCCGAGCTTGAATGAAACACAGAGACCCAGAAGTAGGATACTTGTACTGTACTGTATATGTATATCATATTATTTTCGATGGCTTTACTGTATAATCACTAATCAGTGTAACAGATGAACAGATCGCCACGGGGCTTTCATCTAAACACACAGCCACGTAATGATAACAAAACAAAGGTCGGGGGTCATTGGTCAAGCAACACACCAATCAGAGAGCAGCAGTGAGCACAGCTCAGGCTGTGTTTTATATTTGTATTCTTTATTTCTGACGTATTTCACACAAAAAACCTTTAGTGGAAACGTTTTCACTTATATATATTTTTTTTTTTAAACGGCAAAGTGGCTAGGCTTGCCCACCCTGCGTTGGGGGGGCACAGTGACTCATTTGGGGGGGCATGGCCCGCGAATGACCCCCCATGACGCCGACCCTGGTCCTACTTGAGAAGAAGGTGAAAAGCGGCGCATAATAATAATAATAATAATAATAATAATAATAATAATAATAATAATAACAATAACAATGGGACCTGCAAATACAGAACAGAGATCAACAATATTTACTGCAGGACCAGAGTACATATACTTATTCACATTCTGCTTCATATAGTGCCATCTTTCTTAATTTATACAATTTCTTTAACTGAAAAATACATATACAATTCTTTAGATCCTTCTGTTGAGAATTCCACCATTTTACACCAACCACCGAAATACACATTTGCTTTAGAGTATAGTCCGTGCATAAGGATGCTTACAATTACATGTCCTTCTGTGGTCTTCCTTGTCTGATCCAAAAACAAACAACTGTTGTAAATATACTGGTAACATTCTGCTTCTGCTATACACGAAGAATTGCATGAACAATCGGGAAATAATGTAAACATTCAGAGGCTTTTTTTGTCATAAGCACAATAGATAAAGTGGCGTTTTTGGCACTGAAAATCTGAGGTCCTATAATAATAATAATAATAATAATAACAATAGATTTATTTTGTTAGCGCTTTTACAGGTGCTCAAAGAAGCTTTACAGATATAGTGAAAATAAAATAACAACAAATAAATATATATCGACTCCACTTCGAGCGATATAACTATTAACAAAGCACTTCTATACTAATAAAGGACTGGCTTATCTAAAGCCAGTTGAGTAGCACTTGAAATGTTTGGCTCTATGAAACCTGATGTACTTATATGATTCTGTTTTCTTCAAGGTTGTGTCTTCCTGGTCGAATGTACTTATTGTAAGTCGCTTTGGATAAAAGCGTCAGCTAAATGCAATGTAATGTAATGTAATGTAATATAGTTAAAGTCAGATAATACACAAACAATCACACATTAAAAGCAAGATTGAAGAGGTGAGTTTTTGTGAGTGTGTTGAAGGTGGTGAGGTCAGTGCAGTCTCTGATGGGTTGTGGGAGTGAGTTCCAGATGCGGGTGGGGATGGATAGGAGGTTGGCTTCTGATGAGCGGAGGCAGCAGGCAGGGGTGTGGTGGTGCAGCAGGTCTGTGAGGTGGGGGGGGGGGGCTGGTTGTTGAGGGCTTTGTGAGTAATCAGGAGGACTTTGAAGTTGATTCTTTGACGGACGGGGAGCCAGTGGAGGTTCTGGAGGACGGGAGTGATGTGGCCTCGGGAGCGGGTGTGGGTGAGGAGGCGGGCAGCAGAGTTCTGGATATGTTGGAGTTTATTGAGGAGGTTGGATGGTATGCCTACAGAGCACTTGTGTCAAACTCAAGGCCCGGGGGCCAAATCAGGCACTTAGTGGATTTAATTTCGGCCCGCAGGATAATTTCTAATTACCATTAGATCTGGCTCGCCGGTATATTGCACGCACACCTTCACTCCATCCTGAGGGTCTCCTCAGCTCAGAGCCTGACCCCAAACATTGTTGAACTTGCACCCAAGATGAGATGCCAAGTATCTGAACTAGCATCACAGAGCAGAACACTGAGTTTAATGGATGTTTCCTTCTGCACTTTCTCTCTCACGACAACAGGGAAAGGTTTGGTTTTGGTTGAGGGAAATAGTTTTGTTGAAGCTGTTGTTGTCCTGTGGGAAAATGTAATCATAAGAAATGACTCTGGAAAATCTGCAGATAGAGCCATAAGAAATGAATGCAACTGATTATTTAATGTTTAATGTTGTTTTTATAGGCAATAATTTATGCTTTGTTAGTTCCAGGTTTAATATGTGCAATAAGTTCATTTCAATAAGTTTTGCAATAAACATTGAACCAGTACCCATTTTTTAATTTTGGCCCACTGTGTATTTGAGTTTGACCCCCCTCCCTGGATGCTATAAGACTGCAATATACAATAAACTTAAGAAATGAAAACAACTGCATCATATAACAAGTATATAACTGTTAGAATAAGAGCCAACATGAGGAATGAATATTTAATTTTTGTTAAAAGTATTAATGCCACACAGCACTTAAGGATAATATATGTGTAAAGATTATTAACTACTTATATTGTTTATATTTTATCATACTATAATAAACTTACATTCTTTATTTTGTATTCCTATTTATCATGGTGTACTCTTAACTGATGTATACTGTGTTTTTAGTACTAGACTCCTGGTACTAGGATGGGTTAAAAGCAGAGAACACATGTCACTGTGTGTGTGACCATCAAAGAGGGTTTCATCCCTTCTATTCTATTCTCATCGCTGCGTCAGTAACTTACAGAGTGCACCTGAAGGTTGCATTCTTCTTCTTTTACATCAAACTTCTTCATCGTCCATCCTCCACGTCTTGCTCTGCCTCTTTATTTGAAGGAGATAATATCACTCTCAACAGTATTGCTGCCCTCAACTGGAGAGTAATGGGTATGACACAAATAACACTTGGAAAAAAAACCTGGTAAAAACTTTAGGTCTGTTGCATACATAATCTTTAAAACCTGTCCTCAAATATTTTACATAAAACTCGATGTGAAGCTTGGACACGCACTTTCATGAACACAGCTGATTTAAAAGAACAATATGTTTCAATTTGTACTTTTGAGAAGTCTGTGACCTTAATACATGCAAAGCAGGCTGGACTTAATTTCATCGCAGCACAAATGAATCGATGCATCATGGATTATATGAAATATTAAAGATTAAACTGCTTTTATAATCTTCGTGCCATTGTCTACTCAACCTTGTTTATCTGGAGAGTCTTCATTAAGCTCACATAAAATATAACAGAAGTTGAAAGCTCTGACACCGGAGTGAAGAGCGTTTTAATTTAGAGCAGAGTGTGCATTAACCCATGAACTGACACATAATCAATAAATAAATCCACGCGAAGTCGTCTCACAATGACAAATGTAATCTGAGTCCATTTTAAAGTATCATGCTGCATTTTAATATAGCCTACTGTTCACTTCTGCTTTTTTGCAATACAACCGGGACACAATACTTTCACACATATTAAACAATAAAATGAGAAAGTGACGCATGAAGCCAATAATGGGTTCCAAGCGGTTCCAAGTCAGTGAGTCAAATAATTTAACTTTGAGAACAGGACTTTGATTTATCAGTCTGCAAGGTCTTCATCTCCGAGGTATACATTTGAAAGTGCTGCAGTTTAAGTGACGTCTGATAAACTGACCTCTGCAAACAGGAGAGAGAAGAATGTCGATAATGGAAATAAAGTCCCTTTAAATAATGAAGATATTTTGCTGGTAGAGCTGCAACTATTAGTCATGAATCTTTATCTTGATCAACAGACAAATAATCACCTATTTTTTTAAATAATTTAATCGTAATTGTAATGACATAAAATGCTGTTTTGTGAATCTCATATCTGGAGAGTTCCTGTTTTTATATCATATTAAAGTAAATATCTTAGATTTCAGACTGAAACAAATACATTTTTAAACTTCACCTTGCACTTTGAGAAACGTAAATTAACATTTTAAACAGTTTATTGACGTTTTATAGAGCAAATACTATTACATTCATCAAGAAAATTATTTGACTTCATAGAAATTAATCTTAAAGGTCCCATGTCATGGCCATTTCTACTGATCATGTTTCCATTGTTGAGGTCGACTAGAACAGATTTAAATTGTGCAATTTTCCAAACTCACATTGGTTTCTCACAGCATCTCTGTATAGTATGTGTATTCACTCTCTGTCCTAAATGGCTTGTTGGAGCTCCTGCCCCCCCCTCCCTGTGAGCCCAGTGTGCTATTGATCGGGATGTTGTGAGGCTCGTTGCTGCTGCGAGGAGCGGCGATACAGCCAGACACAGCGAAACTCACCCTGAGCACACACAAACACTCACAGCCGAAGTAAAAACAATAAGTGTGGCTTGATATTGAGTAAGAAAAAGGTTTATAACGCTGTGAGAATGGGTCTGCGGAGAGCATTTCTCCACCATCCCAACTCGTCTATTACCAGCGTTCAGGGAGCTCTATGCAAGTCAATGGGACTCCCTGTTAGTTAGCCAAGGGATCCTGGTGTGTGAGGAGCTCCGCGGATTGGTCCATTTGGGCCAATCCGGTCATTTGTTGTTGATGTGGGTGTTCACACGTCACAGAACCCAGGAAGCAAACAATGGAAAAAGAGAAATCCCCAACGAGGCGTTCTGGGGCAGCATAGACAGGTCTTTCCTGTGTTAGAGTTTTACTCGCTACAGGGTGTACTTTGAAGGTTTGTGCCTGCAGACCGTTTACATGCAGAAAAACCTTCATAACAAGGGGACGGGTAATAACCGGAAAAGCATGACATGGGATCTTTAAAATGCGACTTAAAGGGGACATATCATGCTATATTTGAACAATATATTGTAGGGCCATACCTATATAAAGTATATAAATATATATTTTTTTCAAAATACCAAACAGATAATGCATTTTAGCCATGCCTCATTTCGCTCTATTAACTACGGTGGCTGGCAGGTGCAAACGCTGCACAATGGCCCAAAACGCATACATCAGCAGGAAACACCTGCAAATAATTAAATGAAAAACAAACAAACCCTGAAAACAAATACAAGAGAAAAACGCTGCATTTACAGAAATGATGCAAACTAAATACAACACACAAACCCCGAAAACAAACGCAACAGAAAAATGCTTCAAATACCGAAACGATATGCAAAGTCAAAAGCACGTACAAATCCCAAAACAAAAAAAACATTCCGGAAGTGCTCCAGGCCTCTAGGGGGCCCGCTAACAGATTGACGTCTGACCAGACATAGAGAGAACGAACAAGAGTGATGGAAATCGGGAGGAAAGAAAGTTCATTTAAGTGGAGAAAGATATAAGAAGGTAAGTTTTGTTTTTATACATAGAGCGTCATATTCATATAGCTAGCGTTAGCGTGCCTAACTACTACACCAGCTGAAGCTCTCGCTTCACGTGAAGAGAAGATAAAGTGAGGGAAGAACATTGTTAAAAGAGATGACAAATCATCTGCAGGCAAATAACACGGGCCATAGTGAGTACCGCGGAAAAAGGACATTTCAATTCTTAGCAGTTTGTTTATATGTATGTATTTATATATAGATGTTGCAACTATACAGAGCTTTAGCAATTGCCTGTAACTATGGTCATGCTAATAAAGCTATTGAATTGAGAGAGAGAGAAGTGACAACATGTGAAGAGGGACAAAGTAATGACAGGAGAGTAGTGTGCATTAGACATGCTCAAGAACAAATATAGAGAAGACATTCAAGGAGAGACAGAACACAGATTCAACGGTAATCATGATGTGTCTTTCTATTTATTTAGCTAACCACTATTTAGACTATGTGTTTTTTATTGACTTGATTAAATGGATTTACTACATCAATGTATTTTCAGGCCGCCATGTTTTGTCCTTTCTGTGGCCAACATCTGGGGACAGTTCAAGTGCTCTGCGGCAAACATGTACAGTTTGTGGCAGAAGTTGAACACGAAGTAAGTTCACTTTTTCTATTGTATCTGTTTCAAATGCAAGAAATAAGGATTCAACACACTGCTCTGTTTAGAATACTAATTGGCAGATGCAGACACTAGTTATCAGCATGAAGGACACATTTTTTCATTGTCTGTTTATGTGAAATATGTCGAAGCCATCATTCAATTGTAGACCAATGCGTGATTAAATACACAAAACAGCTTATATTATACATTCATAATTGTGTATTAGTTCTATCTTTATAGAGAACATTATACATTTTGAGACAGTGAGCGGCTGGGAAAGTCACATCGCCATGGGGCACAAACAGTTGCTATGACATGATGTTTTCTTCGCATTCTCAGCATAAGGAGGGTCAGGAACTCACGCTTGGGACCACCAGTGTCCCCTCCATCCTCAGTCGAATGAGAGGGGTCGAATGAGGCACCTTTGAAGCTGCGGATTGCTCCATCCCACACATTGGCTCTATTCATATTGACCCTGCTGCAAGATGTATTTGTTATTTTTGCAGAGAGTTCTGCAACAATGTGCCGCAGTCAGGTATTCTGTGCTGGGAAAGACAAAGTGATGTATTGTAATATTAAATTGCAATTCTAACAAGAAAATGTATATATACATACTAGGGATGCACGATATTGGTTTTTTGAAACCGATACCGATAACTTCCTGCTTCTCAAGACCGATACCGATACCGATAATAATAATATAATATATATATATATTAAATGTACCTGTAGTTTTTGCACACCTGGTGGTAGAAAAAAGACTAGTAGTGAGCAAATGACATGAGCATTACTACTATGAACAAAACAAAGCTAAGAACAGTTTTGACTCTCGTCAAGCGCCATCATTTCTATGATGAAGTTAGAGATCGTTTTAGCCCTGGGGTCGTCTCTGGCAAACTTCTTGCCTTTTCCAAAAGCCTCGTCGATCGGTAAAAGCCCCGGTGCCTTTGCAGCTGGCTTTGGATTCGCCGCTAGTTTAGCAGCGCAGGCGTCTTCCTACGCTTTTAACACACCATCGTAGCGATGGCGATGTTTCAGGTGACTAATCAGGTTGGAAGTATTATAGCTCGTTGCCTTTTTCCCTCCTCGTGGAACTTCTGCATTTGTTAATACAAATAGCAAGCGAACTATCTAACTCTGAAACTTTGAAATAGTCCCATACTACCGACGACATGTTTGTTTACTGTCCTGGCTTCACGGCCGCACACCATTTACGTCACAGCCAGGCATGATTTAGGGAGCGCTGGATTTGTGAAGAACTCCCCTCTTCCTAAACCACTAATACCACAGTACTGGCAAAACGGGAGGAGCCGAGTGAAAAACAAGCGCCCCTCATCCCAATCCACCCACACCGCAGTATTTTTTTCTTTTTTTTTACCCAAAAAATATATTATTATTATTATATTATTATCGGGGCTATTAATACTGTTCGGGTTTATCGGGATGACGTCATAATTCGTAATATCGGACCGATAATTATCGGGCCGATAATTATCGTGCATCACTAATACATACTGTATTACAAATAATGAACTTTGACTGCAACTATGAAACAAAGGATACAAACAGCTAGCTATCAGTATCATGCTACAGTAGCTTAAAACAAGTAGCTAATGACTACTTTACAGCTTGTGTTACACTGTATAAGCAGTAAGCAGCTGAACAAAAATGGCTACTTACCAGGTAACTTGATAGATTAGTTCAAAATCCTGTTGTTCCACTGCTATCTAGAGTTCCACTTCCAGGAGGAACGCAGATTGCTCCAACTCAACATGCGGTCCAGCAAAGTCCGGGCAAGTCCAAGCGTGTGTTCAGTTTTGAGACTATACCGTTGAAACTCAAAAGATATGAGTTACTCTAATTTAGTATCCCTATAGTTGAGTGAACGCAGAAATATTTGTTCAAAATCATTACATTTTTTTGGTTCTTTTTTTGGTTCTTTTTCAGTTTGAGCGACTTATTAAAATAAGTTGTAAACTAACTAAAATAAGTTGAGGTAAAAAACGAAATGTTCTATGTTGTTTTTTAAAAGTGGAATCTACTAACCCGATGAATCGTTTTTCATTTCAGTGCACGCTACAACGGCCCAAAACACTTCCATTAAGGAAACGCACTGAAGCTTCAGAAAAGATGCAATTATAAAAACATAAATGTGCCAACTTTATAATCCCCAAACATCAAAGGAAGTGCTCCGGTCCCAGCTGTGTATCACCTCTGAGTATCGCCTGGAAACAGCTTCTTTTGTGTTTTGAGCTTCTTGCAGCGTGATTTTTAATTTTCAGTGTTTTGTATTTGCAGTGTTTTTTGTTAGCCTGTGCATGTTCCGTCAAGTTGGTTTAGATGTTACCTAAATGGCATGTGTTTTGGCACATTTGTGTTTTTATATTTGCATGGTTTTGGCCTTTTATAACGCGTTAGCATCTGTTGGCCACCGTGGAAAAATAGACAGACAGAAGACAGACAGAAGAACCACATATCTCCACACATCAATATATGTACTATATTCTCCAATTCATGCTGCAATTACCAACATGTTGACGTACACCTCACGATTCCACAGGCACCCGTGTAAATTAAATAGTATAACTTTATAAATAGTCTCTGAGAAGGTCACATGTTGCAGATGCCTCAATGTAAAAGTCAAGCTGTATAATGTAGTGTGTTTGGATGATGAAGCAGCAGTAGACCTTGGTACAGGCGATCAATAGAGCACCTGCAGAGGATGATGTGCTGCATACAGAGATAACACAGGTGCAGGTGTGTGTGTGTGTGTCCTGGTGTGTGTTTCATACCACATGTGAGAGCTGCATTGAGAAATGTGTGGATTGGAGGTGAATCTATGGAGAAAACTTGATCTTTGTGAGAGTCTCACTCCCCCCACCATTTTCCCGAAGGCATGCCACCTCCATCGCTGTCAACACGGGCGAGATTAAATGCGGTTCAGCAGTGAACAAGGGGATTGAAGCAGGAATGTGAGGAATGTGGAGGAACGAAGTTGAGGAGGAGAAGTGCTTGGAGCTGTGCCCATTTTATTCCTGCACACCTGGCAGCTGTTTCGGAGAGTACAGAATATCTATTGATACAGATCTGCTTTGTGTCCGATAGGAGGCTTACACGGTACAAATCGCCAGAGATGGCAAAAGTACACACATCCTTTACTCAAGTAGAAGTACAGTACAGATACTCGTGTTTAAAAATACTCTGGTAAAAGGAGAAGTAGGCCTACTGACTAAATTTCTTTACTCAAGTAAAAGTAAAGAGGCTTTGAAATGTACTTCAGTAAAAAGTACCCATAACTAGCAGCTGCTTTAAAGAGTACCTGACCTCCCTTTATATTAATAGAACAATAATGTCATTGTTAGCTAATGAATGTTTCCATGCTGAACAACGGCAACATGACAACGTTTTAATTGGTCCCTCTTCTTTAGAGAAGACCAGGAAACGATGGATACACGGATCGTGTTCAAATCAATAGGCACGCAATGACTCTAAAGAATAATGATCACGCCACCAAACACACATTCAGACTAAAGGAACCAGCCTGTAAAAAGTACAGGTATTTGTCAGGGTTGGGGAAAAATAGGACCCAAATGCAGATTGAGGAGGGAAGCAGGTTTCAAAATGAAACAAAAGGCGAGCTTTATTTACAAAAGCTGAAAAAAACAAGAATCCATGAATAGCTGTAGCACGAGGTAGCATCCAAACAAAAGGTGACTGTGACCAACATGAAGGGAGACATGAACGACAAATAATGAACGCATCACTAGGGCCAAAAGGGTGGGTGGAGGGGGTCTGGAGGACGGGGTTGGGCTTACAGCCCAGAGGCACGGCAGAGGACCAGGAAGGGGTCCTCGGGCGGACGGCCTGGGGGCAAGGCAGAGTTCATTGTGGGGGTCTCGGGCGGACGGCCCGGGGGCAAAGCAGAGTTCCTAAAGGGGCGAAGGCCACAGCGGGCGAACTCAGGGGGCCGAGCATGAGGGCGAAGGCAGCAGCTAGAAGAGTCAGGGGGCCAGGCCCGAGGGCCGCGGCCGGGAAAGTCAGGGGGCCGGGCTCGAGGGCGAAGACCGCGGCACTCAGGGGGCCGGGCTCAAGGGCGAAGTCCGCGTCTCTCAGGGGGCCGGGCTCGAGGGCGAAGACCGCGGCCGGGAAAGTCAGGGGGCCGGGCTCTAAGGCGAAGGCCGCGGCACTCAGGAGGCCGGGCTCGAGGGCGAAGACCGCAGCTCTCAGGGGGCCGGGCTCGAGGGCGAAGGCCGCGGCACTCAGGGGGCCGGGAACAAGGACAAAGGCCGCGGCTGGGGAACTCAGGGGGCCGGGCACAAGGACGGGCAAGAAGGCGGCGATGGGACAACTCCGGAGGACGGGCAGGACCAACGAAACAGGTGTCGGCTGGACCTCCAACGGGACAGGATATAGGGTTGGCAGGACCCCCGGCAGAAGAGTAGTCGGCGTACCCACAACGGGACAGGATATAGGGTTGGCAGGACCCCCGGCAGAAGAGTAGTCGGCGGGACCCCCAACGGGACAGGATATAGGGTTGGCAGGACCCCCGGCAGAAGAGTAGTCGGCGGGACCCCCAACGGGACAGGACATGGAGTTGGCAGGACCCCCAGCGGAACCTCCAACGGCACAGGACATAGGGCTGGCAGGACCCCCGGCAGAAGAGTAGTCGGTGGGACCTCCAACGGCACAGGACATAGGGTTGGCAGGACCCCCAGCAGAATAGTAGTCGGCGGGAACCCCAACGGGACAGGACATAGTGTTGGCAGGACCCCCGGCAGAAGAGTTGTCGGCGGGACCCCCAACGGGACAGGACATGGAGTTGGCAGGACCCCCAGCGGAACCTCCAACGGCACAGGACATAGGGTTGGCAGGACCCCCGGCAGGGGAGTAGTCGGCGGGACCCCCAACGGGACAGGACATTGAGTAGGGACTCGAGAGGGAACTCGAGAGGGGACTCGAGAAGAGACTGGCGTCGGCCGGTACGCCGACAGGACACGGGGCATTGGCCGGAGAGCCAGTACTGGAGCCGAAACTGGAGTCTGGACCAAGGCTTGGAACCATGGCTGCTGGGGCCAGAACTGATGCTGGAACCATGGCTGTGTGGGCCGGTTCTGGAGCTGGAACCATGGCTGTGTGGGATGGTACTGGAGCAGGCACCATGGCTGCTGGGCACAGAACCGGAACACGGAACCATGGCTGTGTGGGATGGTACTGGAGCACGGTACCATGGCTGTGTGGGCCGGCACTGGAGCACAGAACCATGGCTGTGTGGGCCGGTACTGGAGCCTGAACCATGGCTGCTGGGGCCGGTGCTGGAGCCGGAAACATGGCTGCTGGGGCCGGTGCTGGAGCCGGAAACATGGCTGCAGGGGCCAGTGCTGGAGCCAGAAACATGGCTGCAGGGGCTCGGGCTGGTAGCCTGGACCTGGGTCTCCTTCTCTTAGGAGCCTTTTGGAGGCTCCGTGGACCTCCAAAAGCCAGACGAGACCCATCAAAAGCGTTCTCGAAAGAAGCTATGTTGGGAACTGTGGCAGGCAGGGGGCTAGCAGGCCGGGAAACTTATGTCTGGAGGAAGTCCATAATCCAGCCAGGTAA